TCTTGTTTATAACATTAATAGACTCCAAAACATTAAAATTAATAACGCAAGCTTTTAATAAATTTCCGAATCATATCTCGGCTACTCACCGTTCGCAGACTATAAACATGTATTTTGATCTTTATAGTCCGAAACGGTCATAAAGGAGTCACCGCGCCTGCTGCCAACAATCCGACTTATTTATGTGACGTAAAAATATCCATTCCAATCCGGGAACTTAAACCATCGATATGGTTTAAGTTCCCGGATTGGTATTTTAACTGTTGCGTATTTACGGTGCCAAAGTCACTCGGCGAGACACAGCCAAAAGAAAAAATAAACCCTGTGATTTCAATAACCATTTAGATTCAAATGTGATCCCATGATCAATATTAAATTTTCCAGCATTAATATGCACATTATTCGTAATATCAATACAGTCGTATAGTAAGATCTGAACGAGAAAAATCGCCGTGCCCAAGTTTAGTCGCAGATATAATAAAGTAGGTTGGGTCATTTTAATTCAGTCATATGCACTAAGATGCGTTATTTTGACAGGGATTGTTAAGCATAAGGTATGGTAGTAATTTTTATGACATTATTGAGTTATCAAAAGGATGAAGTAGCTTCGTAAATTCTGAATTAACTGCCTTGGAAGGAGAAGAAGAAGAAGAAATTCTGAATTTTATTATGGATTGTGCAAAGATTGATCATGAAAATGCTTAAAAATAAAAATGTAGTGTATAACCAATATAAAAAGCTACAAAAGTACTAATATTTTTACATAACAATAACAAGAATAATATAATGATTTGTAAGCTTTGCGTTAAACAATAACTGTGAAACGTTCGCGCATTGTAACGACCGAAGCTTCTCTGGACCATTTCGGCGTCGAATTAATTCGAGCTTTCGCGTTTGGTGAGTCACCAAGAGTTGAGGAGGTGGGAGGAAAACGAGGGACGTGGGTAGCAGGCGAGGGGAGACGCGGAAAGCACTCGGCCCACTTTGCTCAGGTACGAATATAACCGAATATTTTCCACCTGCGCTCGTGGAAATCGGGACGTGCGTTGGACAGACGCATTGGAAATTCAAAATTTATCAAAAATATTGCACATTTCATATTTTTGGTTCGTAATAATTTATTCAACACTACACTGTGGCCGCGACTACGACTGCGATGATTTATGTAGTAATGACGAAAACCGATCTCACCGATTTTTACTTCGTGGTGAACTTAATAGAAATATGCTTGTAGAATGTTAGAAAAACAAATTCAAAAGTCCACTATTCTATCGGCCGTAAGAACAGGCATGTTAACACGGTGAAAGAGACTGCCCCAGGTTCTGTCCCTCGGAGCCCCCACTCTACTCCGCAAAGGCTTTCGATAGAGATTTGAACTACTTATCGAAAATAATATGAAATAATAAGAGCAAAGTTCTTTGATTTGAGATGTTTAAGTAGGCTATTTGAAACTGCATGGGATCCAGCAGTTTATGAAAGCTCTTCGCACTATCTAGAGGCGATGCAGCCGTAGACAGCAAGTGCACTCTTTCAAATCCTAATCACACTTTTTTTTATGCGAAAAGTTGCCAAACGTGCGGACGGGTCAACTGATGGTAAATGAATACCGCCGCCCATGGACATCTGGTACACCCGAGGGTTACAGATTCGTTGAGAACCTTTTGAAAATTGGGCTCCGGCTACCTCACTCACTCACCAGACGAAACGCGAAAGTATTTGTCATACTTCCACTTTACTCTGGTCTTCTGTGAAGTCGTCTGTGAGTCTGTGAGTCTTCTGTGAAGTCGTCTGTGAGTCTTCTGTCGGTCTTCTAGTGAGTCTGGTGTCCCACTGTTTAAAGGTTTTCCACGCATCTGCAAAGTCATCGGATATTGTAGGTGCCTATAGGCGGCGGTAGTCACTTAACATTGGGTGAACCGATTCCTCGCTTTACAAATTTTCACCTAAAAAATACATAAGATAATTCAAAAGTGATAAAATTCTCACGGGTGACCGGCGGTTTCGTCGGTTCGCCTTGCATTGGTGCGAGAGTTGTTCACGATGAAAAAGAATCAACAGAAGCTCGAAAACTATTGTGAGCTACTTCCTTATATTATAACTGATTATTTTATTATCGTAGTAAACCATTGCAAGAAGTGCTTCCGTATAATCGGTTGGAATCAAGGAAGATATACGTATCGTATTATAAGGTAGAGTTGCATTACTTCTCTGTTTGTTATAAAAACTTTGAGAGCAACATAGTAACATAATCATTCAATATGACAGTCAGACCTTTTGTTCAGAATTAGCAAAGAAATTACATGTTTTGTAGGTAATAGCCAGCCCTGTAGTCCCGGGCTCATAGAATAGAGCTAAGGTATACCCTGCCTGTCGTAAAAGGCGACTAAAAGGGACACACATAGTGGTCTCGAGCTGCTGCAAGATGGTGAGGGAATCGGGGAAGGTCTATCCTTCTCCGAGCCGTGCTCACGCGTAGTACCAAGGAACACCGGTGCGTTCCGTGGGAGATCCCAGACTCCCTCCAAACGTACAGTAGTTGGCCACTGAGGGAGTTTTAGTGGGTAAAAACCCCACAAAACCCTGTCATGTAAGGTGACAGGGTATCTTTTGAAGATTTCCCCGATACCAAAAAAGGTAACAATCTGAAGGTGATAGAGTGAGACATACTATTTTTTTCCAAGGGACGGTATCTATGGGATAAGACTCCGGTCTTGCGTATGAAATTTTTCTTAAAAATCGCTTAATATCTATGAACCATAAGACATGGTGAGAGAAGCTGCAGACAACATTCCAATATCATAATAATATTTAAATATGGGTAATAACGTTTTGGTTTTTGATTATTCTTTAAATCTACGTTTCCGTTACATAAATAATGTGTATAACATTATTTCACTAACAATTACAGGTAAAAATTATATCTGGAGACATTCATTTATTAATACATCTATTAACATATTACAACCCAATTTCCAAAAAGGCTGTCAACGCATCTGCAACCCTGGGGTGTAGCAGATGTCCATGGGCAGCGGTATTCACTTAAAATCAGATGAACCGTTTGTTCGTTTGGCAACTTTTTATATAAAAAAATGTATTAACATATTTTCGAATTGTTTATAAACAGTTCTCTATTTTTATAAACTAGTCAATTACCAGTTATTGAGGTAAAATAGAAAAAAAAAGCGAAGACAGAAGAAGAAAAGTGAGACTAAGAAAAATGTAAAAGAATCATTTATTTTCAAAAGAGCCTCTTCTCGCAGACTGTACTACGTTGAACGGAAATAGAGCTATGATTAATTATGACTTCACTTTATTCAAGAGGTGTCGAGAATATCTCGACATTTGAATTCGACATACCTGTTAAGCTAACGAACTGACAGGTGCTTCTGTGTAATTGGTAGCCTACATAGTTTTCTAACACCATCACTTTTTTAACGACTGGCCCGTTTAATTTAAAACCCCTAACTAATATGGTTGACGAACTCGACCAGTTCATGGATAGCCATAAAATGTCACATGCTTATTAGCCTTTAGCCGTGAGTATTCAGAACACGCTACTGATATAATCTTGATATCAATGGCGTGATATCGTCATCACTCCTGATCGCATATCGGCAACTCTTGAATATTCCATTAACCCGATTTTTATTCACTACTGAATCCCAAAAAGCCCAATTTTAATTATTGACATATTACGAAGAGAATAAAAAAGTTTTTATACTAAGTAAACATTGTTTTCAAATATTGTCATCAATAAACAATGTTAACGCCTAAGTTGCTTACATCAACAAATTTTCAACGGTCCATTTTAAAACCCCCTTTGCTTTTTTTCCTAATCAAATTCTCGTAGTCAAATAGTTTTGAATACAGAATGGAAACGTAAAAACATATAGGAAGAAAACCGTGAAGATTAATTGTTAATAAAAAATAAAATCCTGCACGTACATGACTTTGGTAAAGCTGCCGTTAGCTCCTTGAAATTAGTCTGGTACAGATTTCTTTCGTAAGTAAAAATGTTTTCCTTAAAAGCATTCTTCCTAACTTTTATAAGTGTAAAACAACCCTAACAACATATACAGCTGGATTATCCCCAAACATTATAATCTGGGCCCATAAAGATATTTATTATTAGTATATTCAGTATAAGAGAGGGTGACGTGTAACTCGTTGGGAAGAGGATATGATGAAAAAAGCGTGTAAAAACTGAAAAACCATTGCCAAAGATGAAAAAGTTTGGAGGAACCTTTCAACCTCAATTAGGAGTGGTTTTTGGATGACTGCATGATAATTATTATTTAATGTATGTTTTCGACATCTATTTAATTATTTTTTTAATGTATAAATATTAAAACGTAGAAAAAATAAAGTTTAACTATTACTATCGATATTTAATATTAAGTTCAATTGAACATTATTATGATAATTTTTATATAAACAAATGTTTTGTGAAACTCAAATAAAATAAAAAAAAATCAAACTCTATAAACACATAAACTCTGAATATCGTAAAATGTACCTTTAAATGCAAATTGATTTGGTTCCTTACGAGTGTGCTACTTACATGTAACAAGTTTTAATGATCTTAATTTTTAATGATGTAATTAACATTTAAGTACTTTATTTTACACACTTCATGATCTTAACTTTTCTCTTCTCCCATCAAATAAGTCAGTAGAGTTAATTAGTTAAATATAATATAAGAAAAAAATATATATCATTGAGAGAACGTCCTGAAAATATATTCCATTCGCTGTTGAAATACCTAGATGAGGGATCTGACAACGAGTTTTCCCATGTGATCCACCTATCTCCGACATATAAAATATATTTTTTAATTCCAAAAAAGATAGTTCTTTTTACTTGATTCAAAACGCCAAGAAGGAAATTTTCTGGTTTTCTAAAAACCGAACTCAACGAACCAGAACACGAAGTGTTTTCATATATTTAGCTAAATAAGCAATGCTGAATTCATTAAAACTGCTAAGTCCGCTCTTTATTTAATGTACCTCGAAAACCGGTTGATACGGGTAAGGGTATCGCCAAATTTTTGGGCAAAACAAAAGATAGAGTCCGCGGCGGCGTTAGGGCGGGCTGTGTCTATAAAAGGCCGAGAGGGGGGTGCGCGGGGGTGGTAACACGATCCGCGAGCTCCAGCCGGCCGGCCGCCCTGGAGCGGCGGGCGGGCGGCGGGCACGCCGGCGGGGCGGGGGAGGGGGCCAGGGCGGGGGGAGAGGGGCGCGGGCGGGAGACGCTGGTGCGCGCGCGCCACCTGCTACCGCTCTCACTAGTCGAACGGTGCCCGACCGGTAACGTAGCGCCGACTGCCGACCGAGAGACGAACCAGCGACAATGTCCGCCATGGCGAAGACCTCCAAGTACACGTACCGCAGCAGTGGCGGCGGCACCACCGACGTCAACATCGAGTACAGCGCCGACCTGAGTGCTCTCTCCAGGCTGGAGGTACCGGCCCCGACGTCAGTGCAGTGCCTGTGAAGTGTTTACGGACACATGATCGAGTATGTTGTATTTTTCAGGACAAGATCCGTCTCCTCCACGACGATCTGGAATCCGAAAGGGAGCTGCGTCAGAGGGTAAGCCTCGGCCGAAATGTGATATGCGCGCGCGCCGCGGCCAAAGCTGGCGCGTCGGCGCGCGCGCAGGTGTGGGCGGGGCGGCGCGCAGCACACCTCTATTAATACCGCCGCCCCGGACCCACGGGGAACTTTCCCCGGGGTGCCCTCCGCGTGGAAAGCCATAGCGCCGCCCCTAAGCACCTCTATCACACCATTGTGTGCAATTGTTCGATAAACTAAAAAAATCAAGGCAAACTAAGACATCAAAGCTTCACAACGCAATCGCTTAAGAAAAGAAACAAATAACACCATTCCATTTTAATATAGAGTAAGTGCAGCTCATATTATGAAATTATTATTGTATTTCTATTAGTATAGCGCTTGTAACCACTAATTGAGTAACCTTTAGTTTTCCAAATTCATAATCAGCAAATAACTGGTTAATATTAAGGTATAATGTAACACTGTGTGCTTAAAACTAATTAAAATACTATTTTAAAGTGTGACAATGTTGGCCATATTTTGTTTCGAACATATTATCTTGGCATGGTGTGTATTTGTAACATTCATATTGTATATCGAGTGAGACGGCTGCCCCGGTCGCCCGAAGCGCGGTGACTCCGCGGTCGACGGGTCTGCGATATATTTAGGCACGCAGCGAGAGCATTCTTTGAAACCCCCAACTCTTCGCTCTCCGGTCTCACTTTTGAAACTGGGCCAAATGATGCTCGCACCCGTTGAGAGTTGCCACAATATTGAAATATAATAATAGAACTCGATGTTAGTGGCGAAAATATCTGAGTTAGTCACATCCACGGTGAGATACCGATTCATTTATAGATGTGTACAATACTTAAATATTTGAAGGACATATTGCATGGGTCCTGGCATTGCATAACCATCAAGTCAAAATCTGAAGTTATTTGTTCATTTCAACCTTAGATCAAAGATCATCTAGCAATTTGGACTGTTATATACAAAATAATTAATATATAAAATAATTTCGTTTTAAGAACGACTATTGAGGCATCAAATATTTTCAAATCTTTTTAATTTCATTACAGTTTCATTATTTCTTTATTAATCAAAAATCAACCTGCAAGAATAACTATCCTAAATTATACTATTTATACAGAATTTCATAATTTAATTTACAATTATTTTAGATCGAGAGAGAAAAGGCAGATTTGAGCGTGCAAGTCATTCAACTTTCCGAGAGGCTGGAGGAAGCTGAAGGCGGGGCCGAAAGTCAGGTAATTCACAGCTGTTTGTACCTATTTATTGCTAATAACAAATGTATTCAATTTAACTGCAAAGCAAAAAATTATGTCGATTATTATTAAATAAAAGAAAAATCGTGAATTAGAATTTAAAACAGTATATTATCCTCATCTAGAGAATTTAAAGTAATACATTTAATAAAAAAACGATTTTCTTAAAAAGTTAATCGGAAAACTTATTGGGAGCCATAACAAATATCTCGATAAAACTTATCGAGATATTTGTTATGGTTTAATATAAAAAAAGGAAATTATATAGAGGAGTAAGTATATAAGTAAATAAAGGAAAGTACATTTGGATGAAAAAAAAAATGAAATGAAGATTTCAATGTCAAAATATTTTAAATATAAATCAATTCTCAGAATGTGTTATAAAATTTAAAATGTTGAAATTAAATTGTTTGCTTTGCGATTTCTTTTTACTTGTAGCTATTGCGACATGCTATGCGATTTTCCCTACAGGTGTATTTTTTCATAGGAAAAACAGATAACACTTTTTAACAGTCCGGTGAAAAGTCCCAGGTAAAAAGAAGAAAAACTTCGACTGAAACAATATATGACTGAGACGTATAAGAAAATATGTCATCGAGATAATGAAAAACTATTCAAATATGTTACATGTAAGACAAGCGTCTTCAAATGCGTCCCCAAACATACTGCAAAATAAGTCATGGGGACGTGATTTGAAACATTTTATTAATTTTTCAGTTCGAGATCAACAGAAAACGCGATACTGAACTTACGAAGCTTCGCAAATTACTGGAAGATGTCCACCTGGAGTCTGAGGAGACTGCCCATCTGCTTAAGAAGAAGCACCAGGAGATCGTGGCTGACTTCCAGGACCAAATCGACCAGCTTACCAAAAGCAGAGCTAGGTAAGATTAAGTGATATCATAATTATTAAAGTTTATTTAGTTATATGATAAATGTAGTATTAAGAATGCTTTGCGAACGCGTTTCTCTTGCGAACGAAGCTCTGCGACATGACAGCCAACCTAACACATTCTGTACACTCAAACATTTTATTATGTTTCCGGTAAAACATAATACGTCTCTTTGTCGTCAGGGCTGAGAAGGAGAAGTCCAAATTCCAAGCAGAAGTATACGAGCTGTTGGCCCAAGTAGAGAACATCACGAAGGAGAAAATCACATTCTCGAAAACATGTGAAAAGTTGGAAATCACCATCAGCGAACTTCACATCAAGATTGAGGAGCTTAACCGCACTATTGTGGACATTACCTCCCACAAGCAGCGTTTGTCCCAGGAGAACATTGAGCTTATCAAAGAAGTTCAAGATCTTAAGGTAGCTTACCTAGAATCGATATGATGTGATATGTAAAATGATATGATAATGAAAAATAACTAAAAATAAAATTTATGTTTCAGGTTAACATTGAAAACGTCGTATATCTTAAGAGTCAAGTGGTCAGTCAGCTCGAAGACTCGCGTCGCAGACTCGAAGATGAAGAGAGACGGCGTTCTCTGCTTGAGGCCAACCTGCATCAGGTTTACATATATTTATGAAATATACGCTACTTATTAAGTCATAAAGTACAATCATAATAAATTTTGAATGTCATCTGTACAGGTTGAAATTGACCTGGAGTCCGTCCGTGTTCAACTCGAGGAAGAATCCGAGGCCCGTCTGGACTTGGAGCGTCAACTGGTCAAGGCCAACGGTGAGGTCCAGCATTGGCGATCAAAGTTCGAGGCCGAGGCTTCTGCCAGGGCTGAGGAGATCGAGGAAATCCGTCGTAAATACTCCGCCCGCATTCAAGAACAGGAGGAGCACATCGAGACTCTCATCGCTAAGATCAGCAACATTGAAAAGCAGAAATCACGTCTTCAGAGCGAGGTATTTAATCAATCTATTTATTCAATTTAATCTCTGAAAATAAAACGTGACGTTACAAAATCATTATGTCGGTAATGATTGAGCTTGTATTGTTCTCTAGGTTGAGGTGCTCATTATCGATCTCGAGAAAGCTAACGGAACCGCCCGCGAGCTCCAGAAGAGGACGGAGCAGCTCGAGCGTGTCAACATCGAAATCAAGTCCCGTCTTGAGGAGACCGTGCAGCTGTACGAGCAAACGCAGCGCGACCTGCGCCTCAAGCAGACCGAGATCCAGCGCATCACCCACGAGCTGGACAAGACCCGCGAACAGAAAGATGCTCTCGGCCGCGAAAACAAGAAACTGGGTGGTAAGCATTTTAGGAGGCACTTAACTACATTTGAAAATATCAAATAACGAGACAATAAAAGTAACGGCAAAGGTATAGTGAAAAACAGGCTTCAATTACTTACAATTAAAGACTGTTATAGTAAACAGAATATCAATTCTGTTAAACAAATCACTACAGGCTGTAAATTAGGAGATTGCACAGAAATTTTCTTGATACTTGCATTTGAATGACATTCTTCTAAAATGAATATTACAAAAATATTGTAAATTGTAGCGATGATACAGAAAATTATGCTGATTCTTTTTCCCATTGTCATGGGGTGTTGTGTCAATATGTGCAGTTAATGTGAAGTGATTGCCATTCATAGATGACTTGCACGACGCCCGAGCCAACATCACGGAGTTGACCCGCCGTCTTCACGAGCTCGAAATCGAGCTGCGCCGTCTTGAGAACGAGCGAGAGGAACTCACCGCCGCATATAAGGAGGCAGAAGCCGTAAGTAAAATCTTCCGCAAATTTCATAAACACTCTGTTGTGTTTTTTAACCTGTTACTATAAAATTAAAAAAATACACATTTGGGACAACTAGGATTTTATAAATAATGGCATGTCTTTGATTTGAAATAGGTTCGACATTACTCCCGTAATAATAAAGTTCAAAAAACTTATTCATCATACTAGTTTACGTGGAGAACGTTACGATCGCACTCACATGTATTGTGAGAAAAACTAAGTTTAGTATTTCTGCTAAGTTTAGTATCCAAAAATAGATTTATCTCATATATATATAACCTGTTAGTAAGTGTACATTTTTTTGCAAAATTATGGTATTTTGTTTCTGTAAAAGTTAATCAGTCATTATTTACAAATCACAATTATCACGTGCTCTGCGATGAAGGAAAACATCGTGAGGAAACCTTCATATTTTCGAAATAACAACAAAAAATAATATTTCGAAGATGGGTGAAGTCCGCCAATCCGCAGTGGGACCGCGTGGTGGACTATGCCCTGATACCCTCTGTACAGAGGAGGCCTTGGCCCAGCGGTGGGAGATGTATAGGCTGATAATATGTAAAAAAAATAATACAGTTACTTTAGTCTTACAAAGACTAATAAATAATGAAGTCACAGTAAAAATAATGTATTGATTCGTCACTATCAATATTACAATGTAACCAAATTAGCACTGAAACTTTTTGGCATCAAGTCAGTTACAAATACATATCTCGAAATAGCGCATCGCCCTTCGTACGACAGACGTAAATTATAAAAATAAACTAAGCAACATACATTTTAGGCAATAAACCCTGCTATCATTTAGATAGAATGCATATTCAAGAAATATATAAATATGCAATATATAAATAGATAATTAAAGTTATTAACATCGGAGCACATTGGACGCAAAAATATTATAACGGTTGTACTTTCATCGAAGACTTATGCTTTGCAAAATATTTCTTATTTACAAGTGTCAACTAAAGGTTTTACAACCCTAATTTGTTTGATGCTACCAGGGCCGCAAAGCCGAGGAACAACGTGCTCAAAGACTGGCTGCTGAACTCGGCCAGTTCCGCCATGAGGCTGAACGCCGCATCCAAGAGAAGGAAGAAGAAATCGAAGCCATCCGGTAAATACAAACAACTTAACTTTTTAGCAGATAGTTTCGTAATATAAATGAACAAGTGGATAATGAATGGTCGAAAGATTTATGCATGTCAAATCAATGTTAATATGGATTTTTCCACACATGAAAATTTATCTAAAAATATTGCAAAGCCAGTGAACGCAAATAAAACATGTACATGATAAAACGTGTAAAGCACTATCCCATCAAAAATAGTTTGATTCAGGTTTAAGAATAGAAATTCTGACTGTGATTGAAAGGACGAATGTTAAGAGTCTGTAGATTCTGTTTGTGCACAACAATTAATTCTGTATAAGTTGTGCTCCATACATACAATTTATTACATCCTATAAGGTAATATTTTGTACACATAAGATAAAACCATAATTAATAGATATGAGATATGAGTCACCTAATATTCAAGAAACTTTAGCTAAGAATATTTCCTTATAAATTTATTTCATATCACATAAGGCATAGTTATATAAAATATATTCTCCTATACTCTATCCCGGATGCGATGCATCGGATTTATTGGCACTGATTCAATTTATATTTAACAGATTTTCTGATTGGCTAATATATACGATAAATACGTCTGATATTTGGCTCGTGCTCGCTATAACGTTTTGCTCAAGACAGTCACAATTGACGCGCGGTTTAGAAACGACTTCCCCACCGAGTATTACCAATAAATTTAAAATTAATCGCCTAGCTAAGTAATGACCCCTGTGAAAGATCCGAATTTGAAAAAATGGACACGGCCTCCCACTTCCATTTATGAAAACAATTATGGCTACGGTATCAATTATTATCAACCAATGATAGACTATATTACAGCAAAAGAACAAGGTGTATCAGTAAAACCTCCAACCCTTCCTTGGAACAATGAAAGAGGCTTGGAGAAGTACAGATTTGATAAACCAATTAAAACGTATTCTGAAGCAGATCTAACGAGAATTTCACGAGAAGTGGCTGACAAGGCAAAGAAGGATCTTAATACGTTCAATGTCACAAAAAGATCACCCTTTTCGGTAATTGCCACTGCAGCGGCAATAAATGTTTCAAAGCATGTAGCAGTTGAAAGTGTTGCTACAAAAACAAAGAAAAAGAAAACTGAAAATATGAGTAAATTGGAAAAAAAAAGTGTATATCATAATAATAAATCATTTTCATTTGATAACTTTTGTGGTACCAATGCAATTGATTGTGATCGCAAAGATAAGGCTAAAGTGTTTAAAGGTAAATCTGCTATAGCTATAGCAAATACATTACTCAATAAAGGCTTAAATAATGTGTCTGAAGTAAGATTAATTAACACAGATTTACCGATTAAAAATCTGGCTAGCGACTACAATTACATAAAAAAGTCTAAGCGTTCAACGAATGTGTCTGCTAAGATTGATCAAGCACTTTCTCAAACATCTAAAAGTATAGAAGTGTGTGAATCCTCGCCGAAAGTATGTGTTGTAAGAATTGAGACGGAAATTCCCCCCCTAAGTGATTCGTATCGAAAACAGTTAAAGGACTTAAAGGAAACTATTAATCTATTCGAAAACATAAATACAAACTTTTTGATAGATACAAGGTAAAACTAGGCGGGAATTTGATGATATAATTAAAACTTAAGTTTTTTTGGATGTAATTTACAATTTTCTTTATGTTCTGTAGTAAGCAGACCAGCATTGAAATCGAGCAGTTGAACGCTCGTGTTGTGGAGGCAGAAACTAAGTTGAAGACGGAAGTCACCCGCATCAAGAAGAAGTTGCAGATCCAGATCACCGAGCTTGAGTTGTCCCTCGACGTCGCTAACAAAACCAACATTGACCTGCAGAAAACAATTAAGAAGCAATCTCTGCAGGTATTAGACTCTCCATAGAATGCAGCACGGCTCCATAGAATTCTGTAAAGTTACTTTATATAATATCTTCTTAAAATTTTAATACGCTTAAGGGCTGTTAATTTGAGAAAATTTCATTCCATTTGACACAACAAAGAACAAAGAGCCAAGAGAACAATTTTGAGTAGTAAGCTTGGGAATAATAAGCACATTATCAAACATAATTTTTATAACTGTTATTAATTTTCAGCTCACTGAAATCCAGACCCATTACGACGAAGTCCAGAGACAGCTCCAGGTAACGCTTGACCAATACGGCGTCGCTCAGCGTAGAATACAGTCCCTCACCGGCGAGATCGAGGAGATCCGAGGCAATTACGAACAGGTAAAATAGACACACATATATATTTTATACTGTCATTAATTACTTGTAGTGTCACAGTTTCCATTGTATTCCATATTTACTTCCTGCCTATATCAATAACATATTGTTTTAAATTATTAACAAAAATTTTTCTTACCTGTGACTTGTACCATTTTCATTTTCATAGATTATCTAAAATCTAGTCTATCTCTAAAAACAATGAACAAAACAAAGTAAATATGTCTAGTAAAAGAACTTACGTATTGATCGGTATTTTAATGACAAGTGTCTTAACAGGCCCTTCGTGCCAAGCGCACAATCGAACTGTCGTATGAGGAAGCTCAGACCCGTATCAATGAGCTGACCGTCATCAACGTAAACCTGTCTAGCAGCAAGGCCAAGATCGAGCAAGAGCTCGCTGCCGTTGCTGCTGACTACGACGAGATTACCAAGGAACTGCGAATTGCTGACGAGAGATACCAGCGCGTCCAGGTACCTGCCCTCGAAATTATTAAGTTTAATTTAAAATAGTGAAAACTATTTTATATAACAGCGTATTTTGTATAACAGCTCTCTTTCTTTCGAAATGAATTAATTTCCAATGCCATTCAAAATTTAGAATAAATTCTATATAGTATCAAATAGGTACTGTTCTATTATATCATAGTAAATTATCTTGTAAATTTACGTTAGTTAATTAGCTCTCACAATTACAGCACGTAATAACATCAATCATGACCGGTCAACTACATCAAACGACTCCTGACAAACATGTGCTTCTTTGACAATATCGTGAATTTTGAAAATAATTTTGTAATATGATGATGGTTTTCATAATGATGATACATTTTGGCTGCTATAAATCACTCCTTCAAATTTCAGACTGAACTCAAGCACACCGTTGAGCACTTGCACGAGGAACAAGAAAGAATCGTGAAGATCGAAGCCATTAAGAAATCTCTCGAGATTGAAGTCAAGGTGCTTATGTCCATTTAGTAGCAATTATTTTTAACTTTTGAGAACAACTTAGACAATACTTTTACCTTAATAGCGGACATGGGTCTCTTTTAATTAAGTTTGTGTAATGTCCAACTTATTAAAAATAAACAATAATTAGTACTTAAACTATTAATTAACATTATACTACCGTGAGCAGTGATAGCTCAGTGTCCGGGCGCTTGCCTTTAATGTAATATTCTCGAGCAACCTGACTTCGATCCCCGGTACCAGCACCAATGAAATTGTCAATTTTAAGTGCTGAATTATCACGTGCTCAGTGGTGAAGGAAAACATCGTGAGGAAACCTGCATATTTTCGTAATAATAACAAAAATAATATTTCAAAGATATGTGAAGTCCGCCAATCTGCAATGGGGCCGCTTGGGGGACCATGCCCTGATTCCCTCTGTACACAAGAGGCCTTTGCCCAACAGTAGGAGATATATATGCTGATACTTTATATTACTGTTCCAGAACATCTCCATCCGCTTGGAAGAAGTTGAAGCTAATGCCATCGTTGGTGGAAAGCGTATCATCAGCAAATTGGAGGCGCGCATTAAGGACTTGGAACTGGAAATGGACGAGGAGAAGAGGAGACACGCTGAAACCATCAAGATCCTCCGCAAGAAGGAACGCCAATTGAAGGAGGTCATGATTCAGTGTGAGGAAGACCAAAAGAACATTGCTCTCCTCCAAGACTCCCTGGAGAAGTGTACTCAGAAAGTCAACATTTACAAGAGGCAGTTGACAGAGCAGGTATTACGCAAAAACAACCCTAATTCCATTAACCTACGAGTGTTATAAATTCCGGATATGAACGAAATTTGCAAAGGCCATTAATTATACTTATTATTAAATATCTATCAACAGGAGGGCATGTCCCAACAGAGTGTGACCAGAGTGCGACGATTCCAACGTGAGTTGGAAGCCGCCGAGGACCGCGCCGACGTCGCTGAGAGCAATCTCTCTCTCATCCGCGCCAAACACCGCACCTTCGTCACCACCTCCACGGTGCCTGGCTCTCAGGTCTATCTGGTCCAGGAGTCCCGCGCCCTCAGCACGGAGTGAGCATCCCTACCATCGCCCCGCCACACCAGCATTTCTATCATCCAGTCGTTAAAGGGGCGCAATTCCGGTCGGGTATAAGCCTAGTCGTTCGTTAAGTGATGTCCGAGTAACACGATAGATGGCACCAGTAGGCTGCAACGTCTAACGGCGCAATCTATTGGTTGAATCTCTGATTGGGACGGGCGCTCGGCGGGGCGACTCGCCCTAATTATGCCGTGTCTCCCACACTGATACAGCCGACCGCCGACCGCTCGTCCCATTTCGATTTTCTATTGTAACTGCTAAAATCAATCAAATAAAGAACCAAAAACTTATAAAGCTTTTTCTTTTCAATGTCTTATATAAGTTTAACGGCGCTTTAGATTACAGTAAAACACCGCAATTTAGGTGCAGTATTTAAAAATTATAAGGGAATTATTTTATATTATTATTTATTAATGGTGCAATAAATATTGTACGTCTTTAATTGTAACTTGTAATAATTAAAAATAAACGCTATTTATGTTAAACAAACAAAAAAACAATAAAACTTCAAAAACAGCCATGATTTTCATTTATTATTATAGTAAGAATAAGCTGTGCTTGAGAATTAGACGTTTTAAAAACAGACCATAATTTCTTTGATTACACACCGATTTCTTATAAAAAACTAGCTCTTACCCGCGACTTCGCCATCGTTGTCAAAGGGAGTAAACAAAAAGTTTTTTATCAGACAAACATGACACATTCCTGGTGCAGGATGCATTAATAATCTTAGTATGGATATGAATAAATTTTTATCAACATTTATACATTATATTAATATTGCCAATTATAATTTTATATCATTCCATAGATCTACGAAGTTAACGAAAGACGAACACATTGTTTTTTTGTATGGAGTGATTCAAATACGCATCATATTGGATCGTATTGGATTGATGAGATGTTTTATTGCGGTATGAAAGTAGCCTTTGTCACTCTCTAGTCTCCTTACTATCTCCACACAGAAATCATATCATAACATCACTCCGTTGCAATTTGAAATATGAACAAAGAAATAAAAACACTTTCGCATTTATAATATTAGCTTCATCAATCACCATTTTTATTTTACTTTTTAAATGTATAACTTGATTGAGAAATACACTCGAACTATCCGATTTAAATACAGGATCAACCACCAATATAAGTGGTAATTGTTATTTTATTCTAATAAAATACGCCCTCAGTGGTGATAAACATGGATATCTTCCAACTGGAAAGATCGAATACACACTACAGTCGTGTGGCAATTTATTTCCTGATATCAAAAAGTCTTTCTTTGTCCTATAGTGATATGTCATCATCATCATTCACCGAGTTCCAGTCCACTACTGAAGTCCTGTCCATCAAATAAGGAAAAATAATTTTTCAATTAAAATCGTGAATCTACTACAATCTGACTCTCTGACCTCGTCCATTCCGAACTTTATGGAACTGATGGAAAGGTTTGTCTCATCATACATTTTATTATTATTATTATATACTTTATTGTACACCACAAAGAATTTGATACAATTAGTATAAAATAAGTCTTAAAAGCTAGGTACAATAAGGCGGTCTTATCGCTAAAAAGCGATCTCTTCCAGGCAATCTTAGGACGAGGAAAAATAAACTAATGAATAGTGGGAGGTGGTGTGCTCAATAAACTTGCTTAATACCAAAATAGACTTAAATATAATAAAATAGAAAGAAATTATAATAAACATACATAAATAGATATACAATATACATGAATAAAATAAATATATACACGAGAGAAGAATTAAATCCGAATATTGCCATTAAAAGCTATGGATTACAAAGCGATAGATAATGTTGTTTTACGTCATTTTTAAACTTGTCTAGCGTCTTCGAACGGCGAATTTGCAGAGGAAGTTCATTCCACAAGCAGATGGCCTTAACGGTAAAGGAGTTCTTATAATATTTAGTTTTGTGCGCATGTGGTGCAAGAATTAGATCTTCAGCGGATCGCAGAACTCGTTCTGGATGGTTATGGCCTAGAAACTTAACATTTGATACAGCTCGTGCGTTCTTTTAAGTCCACATAAAATAATGTTGAAAATCGTTACAGGAAAAGGCTTAAGTGGACACCGCCAGATGAACATGGGCTCATCTACAAAATTTTGCAGAAGCGTTGTCAACCTTTAAAAAAGTAGGCCCCGGCTACCTCACCTACCGGACTAAACGCAAAAGTATAGTCTACACTTTACACCGGTCTTCTGTAAGGCCGTGGTACTTCCCCGGACGGACCTGTCCATTCTTGATAAAGCTGAACATGCTATGTGCCACAGTAAAAGGTTAGGATAAGTTTAGGTTTAGAACACCTTGAGCGCTTAGTCCCCCGGATGGAGAGGGTAGCGGATGCCATGCACAGATGCTGCTGCCCAATCTTGGGGGCAGGAGTCGTACGATCCGTGGCTTTAGACGATGAAGAACTAAAATTTAAAGCGTCCAGCAAAGGATAGCCATACGGATCTTTCGAGGATACACTCCTGGCTCGCTTTCCACCTTTGGACATAATAAACATTTGCTTTATAAAATAAAATTTAACTTACTATTTAGGAAATTGAATAAAATAGATTTTAGGCAATCTCGATAATAGCTGCGCTAGTTTTGAAAATGCATTGCGTATACTTAAAAGTAACGATGGCATAATTTCAGATAAACGTAACCAACATATAACTTTGTTCAAGAAATTTTCAGTACAGCAAATGATGGTACATAAGATTTTAACTTTAAATCAACTTAGATTATATAAAGCCCTTTCTACGTCATCAAACAGCGAACAGACAATATGGTTTCTTCTACAAGTGTTCGTTATACTGAGCGGTAACGTTTGAGAGTTAACGGATGAAGTTACTAGGATAAAAAACATTCTAGCTTTTGATATAACTATGTCCCTTCACCATTCTATCTTATTACTTAGGGATATTGAAATATTGTTAAGTAAATTACGAGATCCGTATAACACAGACGAGATTTTAAATTTAGATATAAGATACTATTATAACATATCATATATAGATCATGCTATACTGACAAAAAATCGTAATCGTTCTCAAATTTACCATCGTATAAAAACTATAATTTAACCTGTTCAGACTATGTCCCGATCCTAATAAGAATCATAAAGTTTTCCTTCCTCTATATCCATAGACACAGAGGCTGAATGCACGAAAATCGACCGCATTCACATCGAACATTAAGTTCGTTCTTATCATGATGGTATAGATAAACTCATTACAACACAGGAGATAGATAAAACGTGCAAAATCGCGCCTATCTCTCTGAACACGGCGTTCCTGACGGATAGCGAGCATTACATCAAATCCTTTCCGAAGCCTGTTACGGGATTTCAACTATTCTGTGGACAAGAAAAACATATTTTATTAGAAGGCAGCCACCTGGCAACCATACCCAAATTCTGCAAAGTGGTCGCCCCGGAATTCACAATTGTTAACATTGATGACAAAGTAAACAGGATCAGTGTCGAAATTGCAACGCTTCCCATCGATAACATGCGCGAAGTCAAACTGACTAGCACCTGTCTTCGACGAATCTCAACACGGTGCACCGAATTTTAAAACAAATCGAATCCGAACTCGTCACAACCAATTCCATGGAACTCACCCCATGAGGCACTCTACCACGTAAACGTACCTACTTTACACCATCGTTCTTGGAATATTTACTGCATCTGTTGCAATCATAATATTTTACGGCCGCGCATTGAAGTCCAAGAAAATTTATAAAATAACTTCAGGACCCCCAGACATTGAACTATCAGATCAAAGCTGATGGGACGACACGTTTGCATTAAACATTGGCAAATGGCTACTTCTTTACAGGGTGAGGTGTTAAATCCCCAGACACCATCATAATGCACCTTCTTGTATCTTGTATTAACTGATGTTTTTGCTTTCAGTCCCGAGACTATTAAAGCTTCTTCTGACGCAGAACCGGTGGGCTAGCCAGAACCCACGGGTGTGGGCCCTCCGCTCTGGGTAGGGCCGCGCATGTGCTCATGCGTGCGTTTAACTACGACATGTCATCTAAGGGCTATCGAAGTTGCGGTGCGGACCGAGACCCCGATGGCCGTCGACTGTGTTTTTAGCTAATCGGTGGATATGCACCTGCTTCAATTGCGCAATGACCGGTGCTTCCTTCAATATAGTCGACCACCGGCAAAGCTCGGCGCCTTTCGTCATCCTAACTTTGTACCGATTGGACACCCCTTAGTGTCTTATGTAATTAGTATTAAACTTAGTTAAGGATTGCACTACTTTATTAAATACTGTTTTTAAATTAAATCGTTTTTTAAGACCCTCCGCTGCGCAACCCGTAATTCAAGTATTAACACTTAAAAAATAATTGTTTTATAGTGTTAGGTACTTAATCGAAAATTCGGGTCCATTTTTCAATGAACACGATATCTTAACCTTATCGAAAAAAAATAAGAGTTTTAGTTAGTCTTTTATATCAATAAAACTCAACTAGAGTTTTAGTCATATACTAGCGGACCCGACAGACGTTGGCATGTAGACACGATTTAAATCCACAACTTATAATTAAAAAAGTTACAAAAAAAATTGTAGTGTACCGAATTATGAATATAAACCATTCTCGAATCGACCCGAAGACAGACAAAAAATTCACTAAAATCTGTCCAGACGTTTGGGAGGAGTTCAGTGAAATACACACGTACAGAAGAATTATATATGTAAAGATAAAGATATGTTTCATCGGATGAAAAAATATTTTCATAGAACTTGCTAACGGTTAAGTACTGTTAACTTAATAGCTTGGACTATGAGCATTGTTATACAGCGTTAATGCTCATTATACAATATTAAATTAACTATATTTAATAGTTTCAATTGAAAATGACTTATGAAAATCAAATAAATTCAAGAGTTTTTCAGTTACACTACAGTTGATATAAACCCAAATTTTGAAATTATACTTCTTTTGGA